GAGATCAGAAGAATCCGAACAAGGGAACATTGAACATATTCACACCCTGAGTTGTGAATTTATTAAAATCCAATTACTATTCCAGGTGAGTTCCTCTTATTTCAAGGAACAGGTTCAGTGCTTAGTGTATTTTTTGAGTATAGTTTCCAATCCAGATGCATTGTATCATTATTTCAGAATTACTCTTCAGGGTAAAGTCAGCATGCTTGAACCCCCTTACCTTCACAGTTGTTGTAGCCCTTATTAGTACAGTGAGAAGCAGCCCTTTGTTGTGTATTTGACCTCAGCTTGGTAATTACACAGAAACATTTTCAGTAAAAACTGCAAGGCAGGGACCGTACTCATGCAAGAGCAAAGCCATAAACCAAAACTCTGCAATGAGGAAGCTATTTCTCCTTTACTGGAACACCCAAGGAAGAAATGCCTGAAGTCCCAATACTGTTTTCTGTAAACAAGCCAGCAAGCAAAACCAAAAATAAAGAACACAAACTGCAGCAGCTGAGAGCAAGTATGGGGGAGTGATTCTAGTGGAAAAGCATGCAGAGATGGGTACAATTTTCTGATGTTTGATCATCTGGGTGAAGGAGTGCTGTGGTTATTTAAGTTGTTTATTTTAAAAGAAAACCCAGGTTCTGGGGTCTTCTGACTCAACTTGCTTCCCATTAATAATACTTTCTGAGAAAATCAGTGTGTTTTATCAAATGAACCCCCACCCCCCCCCAAATATCCAAATTTAGCTACACAGAGAATTTTAAAGATCCATTCACTTACATCTACCAGCTCCTGTCTATAGAGCTCTTTTAATAGCATATTATTGGTTGATGAGATAGATGGCTGTATCTCCTGAAACAAATCTCACTAGAAAACATGATATCATAGGACTTTAAGATGTTGACACTAGAGAATAATGAGTAAGGGAGATGATCTGTATATGTCTAAAAATCATGTTTAAATTTAAAATTATTTTTACAATAAGAAGTTAGAGTAAAATAAAAAATAGATATCTAGAACCAAAAGAGAGTTGGATTTCTGTAGATGCCAGGGCTCCATGTTTGGACCAAGATCATAGAGTAAGTTTAGTGGGTTCCTGACTCATAGAACCTAGCCATTTTCACTTTGTTGCATTAGCAATAGGACAGTTTGTGGTTCTTTACTTGCTTTTACAAGTCCAGGAGTCTCATTTAGTGTACTCTGCTTCCTTGAGTCCAAAGACACAGTGGGAATAAGGCAACAGAGGTCAGAGGACATGGGCTTCAAGTTCATTATCTTTTGGCTCCATAGGCAAAGTCAGCATCAATTTGCAGAATACAGTAAAATGTGCTGCTATTCAATAAATGAAAAAAAAAAAAAAAAAAAAAAAAAAGGAAAACATACACAGATAGTTTAGTCCAAATTAGTCTGTGAACCACAAGTGTGAATCTTTTCCATTTGTCTAACAGGTATATCCACCATCTACCCTGTAGCTCACCACTGTGGATAGCTAGAGACAGGGCTCAACACAAATCACAAACTTACTTAAACTATTGTAAGATTGGTGTGTGTGTGTGTGTGTGTGTGTGTGTGTGTGTATTCAAGCATACCCATATACTATAATCTGACTGCTTTGTGTTTTGTTATGGTGTGTAAATTTTGCAGGTTACAAAGTCATGTTGCAGTGTCAAAAGTCTTGTCATGCTACAAGATGCCTGCAACGGCTGTTTTAGTGTCAACCTGACACATGCTAGAGTCATCAGAGAGGAAGGAGCCTCCATGAGATCCAGCTGCAAGGCATTTTCTCAATTAGTGATCAATGGGGGGTGGGGGGAGGGTTCAGCTGGTGGGCTGGCGGTCTTGGGTTCTGTAATACAGTAGTTTAAGAAAGCAAGGAGTATCAAGCTCGTAAGCAGCACCCTTCCATAGCCTCTGCATCAGTTCCTGCCTCCAGGTCCCTGCCCTGTTTGAGTTCCTGTCCTGACTTCCTTCAACAATGAATAATGCCATGGAAATCTAAGCCAAATAAAGCCATTCCTTCCCAACTTGCTTTTTGGTCATGGTGTTTCATTGAAACAATAGAAACCCTAAGATAATGCCAATGAGGAAAACAAATTCTAGAAAGAAAAAAAGGCTAAACTATGACATTTTGTATTTTCAACTGGACTCAGGCTACCATGAATTGGACAAAGGAACAAACAAAAACAGTCTAAGAATACACATGGAAATATTTTTACGATGCCTGTCCTAGTCAGCCTTAAGCGTCAGTTTGACAGAGCCTAGCATCATCTGAGAGGAAAGGCCTCAGTTGAGAAATTATCGAAATCAGGCTGGTCTGTGGGCATGTTTGTGAGGGACTGCCTTGATTAGTTGTTGTAGGAGGGTCCATCCCACTGTGCATAGCACGGTTTCCTATGCAGGTGGTCTTGGGCTGTATAAAAAGCTAGTTAAGCATAAGCATGTAAGCTAGAGGAGAACCCAGGAAGAAGAATGCTTCCATGGATTCTGATATGACTCATTGTTCAAGTCCCTACCTTGACTTCTTCAATGATGGACTGTGCCACCAATGTGTAAGCCAAACCAACTCTACCCACCCCAAGTTGCTTTTGATCAGCGTGTGTTTTTAAATCACAGCAACAAAATGAAATGAGGCTAATTTTTTTTTTATCAGAAAACATAACTTTGATCATCTGTGGATTTTGCCCATAATTTTATGTGGTCGCACTACACTATCATTTCCTCAGAAATTTTAGAGCATTCATATTCTAATGCAAGTTCCTGGTTTTCTCTTAGGTTTTGAGCAGACACTGAAAGCTTAGCTTCAGCACACTAGGAACTAACATTGTCCTATGTTCTCCATGAACTAGCTCTCCAGTGTGGACTGATATATTGAGAAATACCCTTTTGCTATGTTTTTTTTTAATTTTATGTGTTCATGAGGAGAAAATACTAATTTGATATAATATAACAATGATTAAATGAGGGTAATTAGCCTTTGTATCTTCTTAAACAGTGATCACTTTTTGTGATGTTAATCTCTGAATTCATCTTTTCAGATTCTTTATAAGACATGTGATGCGCTGTGAATTATAGTACCATACTGCACAGTATAGCATTAGAACAGATGTCAGTGTAATGTATATAATGCATATTTGGCACCCATTATCTAAGCTCTTTCAATCTCCAATACCCATATTCTTACTTATAATGACCACCATTCTACACTATTCTATACAGTCTACTTATTTTAGGTTTAACTTATGAATGAGATCACATACTATTTGTCTTTGTGTGTCTGGCTTATGTCATTCAATGTAAAATATACTTGACTTCATCCATGCTGTCATATATTTCTATCATCATTTTTACAGGTTTTGTGTTGCAAAATAATTATTATTATAAAAGCAGTTTTGATACAACTTTACAAAATGAAGTCAGGGAGCCATTAGGCCATAAGGTTAGGCATGACTCCAACTGCTACCTAAAATGTGGACCTTTCACATGAAGCATCAGAATGCCTTTGCATTCTAAGCCTCAGGATGTTCATTATTTGGTGATTGGCCTCTAACTTTATGGGCATCTCAGGTCAGTTGACAAATTATTTCTTTACCTTCTCTATAGTTATGGCCCATCTAAACTCAGACTTCCCATGCCTTTCTCAGAACACTGCTTCAGGCTATCCAAACCCAAAATCCTGAATTGTTATTCTCCAGAGACAAGCCTTCTTTCTGATGCAATTTCTGAGTAAAAATTCAGTGACACCACACATCTGCCACATGTTCTTTATCTACTCATCCATCAAGGCACAAATAAGTTGATTCTATGTCCTGGTTTTGTGAGACTTGCTGTAGTAACTGTGAAAGTACAGATATCACACATGTATAAACATGTATGCACATAGATTCATGCTCACATACATGCAGGGCAGCTGGCCTGTAAACTACAGCTCCACCTTATTTGGGATTCTTTTTTAGGGGGCAGAGTTCTCATTCCCTAACAATTTCCTTCTTTTTTTTTTTTTTTTTTCTCAATGTATTTCCCTTTATCTTTAGGGAGTATTCATTTTGAAGAAATACATAGGTTTTGGGAATGAAGTGGTATTATTTCTCATGGTTGAGAATGTGTTTCTGTTAAGGGAATACAGGCTCCCCTGTGGCTGTGGCCATTTCAGCAAAGCACAGATCTAGACTTACATTCTGAAAGAGTGGATATAGCCTATGCAATGCAGATGCATTCAATTACAGTTGATGTCTATTATGAAGTAGTTAGCCAGTGTTGTCTGTCCTGGTGATTTACCATTGGTATTGGGTCAGGGAATTATCAAACACAAAGAAAACCAGAATTCTCCTGGCTTCTGGGTGATTATAATCCTACCTTAGATACTACAGTTGTATTTATATCAACATACCATTTTGAATGTGTTGGCACCTAGGATGGTTTTTAGGCTATATCTCTATATCCATCTCCGTGTGTATTGTTCTTTTTCATTTTAGATGGTTGGTGGCAACTGCAAAGCATCTCAGATTCCTCCCCTGCTAAGAACCACACTTACAGATATTTGCAGACCAGCACTGGTACAAAAAGTATCTGTGGAATACAGTTCCAGTGCTATATACTACATCAAGTATTAAACAGACATTCTATTCCATGGGAGATATTTGAATTGAATTTAGAAACAAACTGCTTTTTAGATAATACTTTTGGAGAAGCTGATCAACACCAATTGTGATTTGTTTTCTAACTCTATCAATTTGTAGCTACTTAAAAATAAGCACTAAATAGACAATGTCAATCCAGAAATCTAATCACAAATCACCTCTACATAGCTGGCAACTTCTCTCCCCAGACCTTAAACTCCTTAAGCACTCATGGAAAAAAAAAGATTAAAAAAAATTAGAGTAATTCTCTAATCTCTCCTGGTTAACATGTTCAATACAAATTAAATGTCAGCATTATTCAAAATGAGTCCTTGGCCAACCATAGACAGGAAACAGCTACTGATCAATGCAAATCAGAAGACAGAAGCTTACCTTAGTTCCTTGAAGGGGTCTGCTCTGACATTAGGTGTTTCTATGGATTTGGGAAAGACTGTGCCTTCAGCTCCTACAGAGGAAACACAAAATAGACATTGTGAATGTGGGGTCACCCAGGGCATCTGCAGCATGCTGTTAGAGCAGAGAGCATGCATATTGCCACTAGCTTCAGGGCTTCTGACAGGACATGGTTGAATCAATTCTTGTAAGCAACCCTTGAAAAAAACCAGGGACAACTCCTGTCACCTCAGAGCAATGCTAGGAGGAAGCCTGCCTACTCCCTGGGCTTCCAAAAAGAAAACAAACAAATATTATAATTAAAATACAATTACATTGTTCCTTTTCCCTTTCCCTCCTCGAGCCCCTCCCGTGTTTCTCCTCTCCATTCTCAAATTGATAGCCTCTTTCTCAAGAAGGAAAAAAATCTTTAAAAAGATGCCTTGAAATGGGAAATTTTAAATCTTGTCTCTTATAAACTATTAATGGTCACCTAACTGGAAGTTTTGAATACAGCAGTTGATGCCCTCTCCCTGCAATGCAGTACAGATTGTATAGTGTTTGCCTAGTATCAAGCTAAAGCTTTTTCTGTAAATTAAATCCTGCATTATGATTTTGAAAAGTTATGTAAATGGAACATTACAGGAGATCACTTGAAGTACATATTTCTATGCTAAGTATAAACATTGATCCGCAGCCCAATTGAGACATTCAGCTCCTGCTTGAGATATCAGCCTCTATCTACTCTACTTGTCAACATCAGCTGAACCTTTTTAAGCTACAAAACATAGCGATTATCTGATTTTTATGCTCCCTAAGTGATTTCAAGTCATTTAACCTGCAGTGTATCAGGGAGAATTGCTCTGGACATTAGCTTTTCAAGTAGTATCCCGTACTTTGGTGAGTGTGTATGATGTAGTTAAGAAAAGATGAGTTTCCTGCACTCATGTGCAACTTTCTAGAACTCTCATGCATGTTTATACTGCCTTAGAAACTCCTCATTTGTAATTATTACTTCATATTAGATCCATGTTGGTATAATGATGTGTTCATAAAAATTAACTTATTTATTTACTTATACAGCAACTGGAAAAATATTCACTTTTGGATAGCAGCAACAGACTGTTGCAAGTAAATCAGAAAATAGTGCTTTAACCTCACATTACACATAGCCATTGAAGGAATAGCTTGATGATCAGCAGAAACTTTTAAGTTAATGATTTTGAGTGAATCCTATGATAGATTCTATCATATAAACTAGCTCATATCCCCTGCATCAATCTCATTGAATTGGCATGTTCAGTGGGCAGTTACATTAAGTGTGGGCCATTTCAAGCTTTTCTCACTCTAAAGATATTCTTGTGTTTGTACATGTGTGCTCAGGCGTGTTCATACATGCACACTCATGTAGAAACTAGAGTTGACATTGGGTGTCTTCTTCAATGAGGCCATTTGTCAAGGCAGGGTCTCTCACTGAACTTGGAGAGAGTTGTGGCCAGACTGGTTATCTAGAAATATCTGTCTTCACCTTCCAATGCTGAAGTTACAGATGTATTCCAACCAAGTTTGCCTTGGTTGGAATACTCAGGTCCCCACATTTGCATGACAAACACTTTAACTATTGAGCAGCTCTGCAAAACTGAAATTCTTGCTTTTTAAGATCCCATATCATTTCAAACATATTGAAGTATACACATAATGAAATTGACAACTTGTTAGGCAAATTACATAAGCATATTGAAAGTTTTATAACACATAGATTGCTAATTTTGCCCCTGAGATTTCCTCATTGTAGTTTGGGGTAAGTGTAGGTAGGGCAAACTGGATTTTAGATTACTATGTAGCTTTTGTTGAACATGCACTAAATTTGGCTTTAAAGCCTATTATTTTTCTCTTTGCTATAACCAAAGGTTTGGCTCACACAGGGCTATTAAACATTCTGATACTGTGACATGATGTTGTCACACATGATATAGTCTACACATGTGTTTGACCACATTCATAAGTGTCCTGGAGAACATTTGGCTCATGGACCACAGACTAGATGTGCTTGGCTTTTGGTTTGAGGGTTTGGTTCTTCACAGTGCAGAAGGTATGACGGCAGGAACTTGCTTATATCTGGGCAGTTCAGGAGGCAGAAGCAAGGGGGATGCCAGCATTCAGGTGGCCTTTTCCTTTTTTATTCAGTCTGAGACCCTAGAAACCATGATGGTGTGGCTCATATTTTTTCCTACCAGTTAATCTTCTCTGGAAAGTTCTCATAGATAAATCCCAAAATGTGTCTGTCTAACACTCCAGAAACTTCTTTATGCCATAAAATTGACAAAAGAAATTAATCATTACAATGAGTACACATTTCACATCCCCAGCATTGCTTTCCTCCAGAGAAGCATGTGGGACTGGAGACCTGTGGAACTGCCAATAGTTAGACAACCCCACAGAAATCACATGGTGATGTTGCTCAGGCCCTGGGCACAACCCTAACCACCTTCACTTCTGAAGAAATTATATCACTGAACAGGGACAACCCTTACTGAGATACAGCCATGTTCCTTTTAATTGTAGTGTTGCTATATTTCAGTAAAGCAAGGAGTTAGTTTGGTTATACTGTTGGTATATTTAAGTTCTAGTTGAAACTCCTTTTCCTCTATCTAGAGTACTACAAAAACAGAAAGAGTATTACCTCTTTTTTTTTTTTTAAAGTCAATCTTATTTGTCTGGCTTATATGTATGACAACTGTTCCTGTCTCTGGACAGTCTTCATTCACTATGTGGACGGTTATTGCAACCATGACACTTGTTTTGCCCACTGTCACCCACATTCCTACCTTCCTTTCATAAGGCATCTGAAGGCTACCATGACTGCATGTAATATGGACACCAGAGGAACAGAGGCTACATTACATTTGACTCATTACTCAAACTTAATGAGTGGTATTTTCTTTTTATAATGACTTTCAAATGGCTGAGCAGTTTTTCAGTCCCAGTCAAACTCTGGCTGAGTTGGCTTCTTCACTAGCCAAGGATGACAATCAAAACTTACCCACTACTTTAATTGTAAACCTGGCTTTACTCAGTTCAAGGGGGAGTGACTTATATGAAGCTCATGGCTCTTGTCTCTGTCATTTCTCTGAGCCAGTCCATGGGGGTAATAAGTTACTATGATGATGTGTCTCAACACGTTGCACATTAATGACATGTGAAAAGGACACAGTCTCCCTTGAACCCGAGAATTCAGAGCCTCCATTTTCTCTAACCCCAAAACAGCTTTGCTGTTCCCTGATTAGGAGAATGTCTTTCTCTTTACCATATCTCTATTGCCCACACAAGCAAAGGCAAACAGTAGGCCCTCAACACATATTTATAAAATGGCTACAGCATTTACTTGGCACCAAACACACACCACCCACCCTTTTCACGGATCTTTCAGACACCGTTCTATCTCTTCAACTTGTCATACGATCTGTATAAGCAGGTGCAGTTTCCCTGGGTTGCTACTGTGTTGCTTTCTGATTGATGCTGTGGTTCCCATTCAAGAACTCATCTCCTGTCATAAAATTCCTTACATGGTATCATATATTTTAAGAGTGTTCCAAATCACAATTCAAAATATTATTTTAACTCTACCTATAAAATAAAAAAAAAAAAACACTGTAATAAAGGAATATAGCAGAGGCTACATAAAAACACCTCTTTAAAGTCAGAGTAGTCAGGGACTATAATCCCCTCCCATATGAAGGAATCACTTATCTAAAGGCTGCAGCTAAAATTCACATGAGTATCATAACCACATCTTTAGCGACTGCACCAGCAGAGACTCATAGCTCCAGGGCCCTATCACCTTGCTTTGTTCATGCTAGATATTTTTGTTTGAATATCAAATGTTTCTTTCAGGCTTACATGTTGAACATCTTGTCCCTAGCTATTGTTGGTATTTTGGGAGGCCTTCGGAAGTTTAGGAAGGACTCTGAGCTAAAGAAAAGTAGAGGTGAGGATATGCTGTTGGAGGCTATGTCTTGTCTTAACGGGGGTTTTGTGTCTGTTTCCTTCTGCTTCCTGACTGCCATGTTCTGCCTCACACATTCCTAGATACACAGAAACAAATGCCCACACTCAGAACTTTCTGTTATGAAATCACAGCAAGACATTCCTCTTTTAGCTTGCTTTGATTAGTGATATGTAGCTAAGTAGTTCACACAAGTGAATGTGATACTTATTGAAAAATACGGCAACAAACACCAGAGGGGCATCTCTGGGTGGGAAACGGGATTCCCTGAGGGAAGGGAGGGAAAGGCAAGATGGCCACACTTCCTCATCTCTCATCATCTAATCCAATAACTTTTGAGCTGTTCTGTGCTGGGATCTGGACAATGGAGTTTGTGTCTTACACACCAAAGCCTTTAGGCACAAATTTCAATAGGAAGTTTGAAGTTTGATGAGTGACCTTGAAGGTGACATGTAACTCCCATGATGCTCAGTTTTCTTCTTGGAAAAGAAGTAACATAGGCTGGCAAAATAGCCTAGTGGGTGACTCACTTGTCATGTGAGGTAGAACACCTGAGTTCATCTTGGACTTCACATTAAAGAGAGAGACTCTATTTATGGACAAGTCTTCAGACCTTGAGACACAAGCTGTCATGTATGTATGCCTCAGGGTAAGGAGACTGAGTATCTAATGGATGGGCAATCTGTGCCTTGGGGATATGGAAATTGTTCTGAACTCACAGAGCTCATGAGCTTGGGGTTGGGAACCTAAATTCAGCCTCAGTTCCAGACTCAATGCTCTTCACATCTGCTATGGATGATCTCTCAGCAGATCCATCACCTTGTACTTAGTTCTAAACAAATATCAAGGATCATGTCAAGTAGTGCTTGCCTTTAAGCCCCTACTTACTGTCTTCCCAAACCAACTCATATCTACAATGAGATGAGATATTAATATTTTAAAAAAAAATTTTACTTTAAAATCCTACCAGGTTTCTGATTTCCACATTTCTTACTTTTCCAGATAGCCATCATAGATACACATCCTCAAACCTGTCTTCTACCATTTTTGGATAAAATATTATTCTT